GGGATAAAGATTCGAACAAATTGACTTAGACGTCCCTTGGCAAAGAATACCCTAGAGAAGTAATAGAAAGTAAATAAGTCCCGTGAAAAGCCATTGGAAGGAAGGGATTATGAAAGAAAAGTAAGGATGGAGAAATATTTACCAAAGTGAGCTGACCTATATTGCTGCGAACGAACCAAAAGACAATGGCCAGTATGAGGAAAATAAAATAGTTAAGTGAGCACGAAAAAAAAACACTTCACAAATGTATCCACACCACATAAGAGAGTAGACAAATTGGATTGCTCATGAGATAGCAGCATTCCATGTGGGTTTTTTAAGCAGAAAAATCGTCATACGAATCAAGGAACATCAAAGGCTGCAGAAAAACGGATACCGAAAGATTAGAAATAAGTGACACATTGCGCAGAATGGGCACGATATCTTTGGAAGGCAACTAGAAGAAAGTTTTCATACGATTGAAACGCTAGAAAACGGAAGTTTAGAGAAGCCTTTAATATGTTTGTGGAAAGAAATTTAGTGAACAGAAAATTGGAAGAAGGCAGCGTTAGTGATAACCTTGCCTATTGCTTAAGCAAACTCGAAGGAGCTATGGCGAGATTAGCCTGTATCAAGTATCCATCGGTTAGACAGGAAGAAGGAATTGCTGGCAAGAAGCGAGTAAGGATCATCCGGAAATTAAGCGAAGATGTTCTCAGCAAGTTTATTTTGCTTGAAGAAACAGTGACAACTTGGGGGGCCTTGCAGTCACATGATCAGGGAGACGGATAATCACAACCGTCACGTAAATTCGGCATTATGGTCAAATTTACTTGAAATCCACTCGAATGCATCAGACGACCAGGTATTGACGTTCACAGTTTACTCAAGGTACATGAATTAAATAAAGCAGATGGTCCGTGTAGACAATGCTTGATATATACAAGCATGGGAATCGGAGCTTAAGCGCTCTGCTCGGTTAGGCGACAGTGTACGTGTTTCTAAAGGATTACGAAATAGCGCCCGAAGTGAAAAGTACACTGGGGCTGGTAACAAATCAAATCGGCCAACCGGAATGATAAGAAATGTATCCACAGGCCATTGAGGCAGATGTGGATATGAGGTCCAAATTGGATCAGCCACTTGAGCGGAGGGAGGCCAGGTAAACAGCAGGTTTGATGGTGCAACACTAAACTCGCCATATGAGGACATCTATAGAGGAGTCGAATTTACGCAATTCAGAAGTTGTGGTAGGGTGGGTTTGGCAACAAGTCTGTCAAGGGATTGAATTGATTTGTCCCACTTGGCGAGATGTAGCTTGGTGCTGACTCGACCAAGTTTTACTAACTATGCCGGCGAAACGTATGGGAATGTACCACATAGACGATCAAATTCTGGAAATTATGATTGCTAATATAGCATAGCTTCTTCCAACTAGGTCACCCTGACTCCACTACAAAGTTTCGAAAACGAGTTAAGAACACTTCTATGCAACAATATTCTTTTTGTATCGTTTGACCCTTGTATAAGATCGTCCCATTTTTCGGGATTTATTCCTTATTTGTAACTGGCATTGTTTGACTATATTTTGGCAAACAAACAACTGTCACCCAAAAAGATACTTTTTATGGTCGTTTTATTTTTATTAGCTAGAATTTTTTTCAGTTTGAAGGTTTGCTGACTAATATTATTTCACAAAAGTATATCATATTTTTTACCTCTTGAATGCCTATTCAATTTAATTCAATTTTAAACCATATTATCATACATTAAGATTCAAATCAGCTAGTTCTATTATGTTACTTATATTACTGTGCCTTATAAAAATTTCAAAAACTATTTCGACCACTTTTATTTCAGTTTGAGATTGTCGAGTACTATGGCTCTGAGCATTTCTGTCCAATCACTATGGTCCGTTTATTCGGGCTCCTATCTGATGACTTAGACACAGACGACGATGATATATCTGCCACTGTCTCGACAGCACCTTCATCTGATACATCCTCAAATTCCCATCCTCCCATCCTCGAACATGAAACTCATCTTAACTTCGCGCCAATCCTGAATGAACTCGAGTCGCCTGCGCTTCCAGCTTTGTTCTTATCAGACCAGATAGAAATATTAGGGAATTCACAAACGCTAACTCCCAATGATAACCAAGCTATAGTTTCTGGAAATTCGGAGGATTTGACGTCGACCTCGTTGGACAGTCATGATCCCTCTGATATGCAGGTTTCGTCTAACAGTGATTATCGGTCAGGCGAAATGGGTATAGGGGCTAGCTTGGATGATCTGCCTTCATGTACGTGTAAATCTAGCAAACAGTCTATATTTTTTTAAATTTTTGCTTTGCTTTCTAAATTATATCTTATTTTCATTTTTTTAAAAGCATCAATCAGACTTTCATTAGTAAAGTCCATGTGATATAGTAAAATTGAACTTGTGAAGATACATCTTTCCACTATATTTTTACAGTCTCTTTCATTTTCTTTAATCCTTTTCTATGGCACTTATCCTATGAATTGAAAATCTAATCTATAATATTTAAAAATTAAATATTTATTCTATACTTGACTTTACATGTATTCACAATAAAGACTAAAGAACTTGGTTGTCACAATCCTTTTTCCTTAGTATTTGAATATCATGATTCCAACTTTATAATTCTTGAAATAGGCTTTTTAATTTTCTCTTCTTATCATTTTTGCTAGACTCTGATCCTTGTAGCTTGGCCCAAGAGGATACAGTCACTACCAGCCTCCATTGTCCATCATCTTCTCGTACAGATGCAAGCCCTTCTTTACACCCTACTTACTCAGGAGAAGCGGCCTTTTCACAATTGCATTTAACCAAGCCTATTCCAGAGGCCTCAAAACCGACAGTTCCACCTTCATCCTCTACATCACTAGAGGATATGGTTCCTTCTCAATATATAAATCCTCTTAATTCAGACAAAGTTTCAACACCAACACTAACTCCTTCACGACCAGCAGTCACACCTGAACAAATTTCCTCTGATCTATCTCCCTTGTCTCTTGATCGCCTCCCACAACGACCTATCGGGCAGTTTTCAACCTCAGATACTTCAGGTATGTCTGCTTCAGAAAACTCAGAAGACGCCCAAAATCCGCAGCAAATTAGGTCTAGCACTATCCTTCAAATTAATCAGACAAACTCTTCAACGCCAGATAGCAATAAAAGTGAGTTTTATTCGGATAGCATTGTATAAAATTTAGTTTTAATGAAAAATTACATGTCATTTTTGCTCTAGATTTTAAAATAGGTTTTAAGCGTCATTAATTTCGATTACTTACGGCAGTGGTTCCCAAAATTTTCCTAGTCGCGGCGCCCTTTTTTAATAAATTTTTCCATGGCGCTCTACCCTAAGTATGACTATTCGTAAGTAAGAAATAAAAAAATAAAACTCGTGTATCTTCATTTTTTATTTTATTAACATTTAATTAATATTTAATAATTAATGTTATGGATGAACTTGCAAATCACTACACATTTTATCAAATTGAAGCTTTTACAATATTTCGCGGCGCTCCTGTAAAGAGGCCGCGGCTCCTCGGGGCGCCGCGGCAGTGTATTCACACTGCTTACTTGCCATTCCATAAAGGAATTTTGCTCAAGTGTATATCTATCTTTCGACTGCCTAATGCGCACTGGAGCTCTGCTCGTCAT